ATGGATTGGTTGCCTCCTGGTTGAGCCCCGACCAGGGGCCTGGCCAGGGAGGAATCTGCAACCGACGTATTTGCCCTTGGCCAGAATCAAACCTGGGACCCTTTGGTCCGCAGGTTGACACTCTATCCACTGAGCCAAACCGGTTTTGGCAATAAAAATGTTTTTAAAAAATTAATAAAATAAAATAAAGGGTGACTGTCTGCCCTCTCCGGCTTGAACACCGACCTATGAACCTGGAGTTCAATAAATCATACAGATGCTCCTTTGGTAGATAAGGAAAAATTCCTTGTGCAGGACTTTTCATTTATTTATTTTCACTTTTTCATATATTTGTATTGATTTTAGAGAGGAAGAGAGAGGGAGAGAGAGAGAAACATCAGTGAGAGAGACTCATGGATCGGTTGCCTCCTGCACGCCCCCTACTGGGGATTGGGCCGATAAGCCAGGCGTGTGCCTTGACCGGGAAATGGAACTGTGACCTCCTGGTTCATAGGTGAACACTGGGCCACGCCGGCTGGGCATGCGGCCTGGTTTTAAATTCCTAGGTCTTCCCCACAGTAGTGCTCCACCGCTGTGTGTGTGTGGGATCGCATGCCTGCAAGTGTGGCCACGATGCTTGCGTGTGCCTGGGGTCATCTGGAAGGAGGGCTTGTGGGGAGGCTGAGGAGGACAGGGCACGGGTCCTGCAGGAGAGAGGCAGACAGGTGCCCGTGTGCCTACAGGCAAGAACCGGCCACCCCAACTCAGGTGGGGCCGAGTGGGAGGGAGGGGGGACAGGGGAGGGCTCTCTGGACCAGAACGGACTGGGGACCTTTCTCTGAGAGCAAGAGGGATCCACTAACCAGTTTGGCTCAGCGGATAGAGCGTCGGCCTCCAGATCGAAGGATCCCGGGTTCGATTCCGGTCCAGGGCATGTACCTTGGTTGCAGGGCCCTGGTCAGGGTGTGTGCGGGAGGCAACCAATCGATGTGTCTCTCCTTTCCACTCTCTGAAAGTCAATGGAAAAATATCCTCTGATTTGCTTTGGATTTTCACACGTACATTCCTGAGAGATTGGCCTGTAGACTTTCTTTCCTTTCTTCCTTTCCTTCCCCTTCCTTCCTTCCTTCCTTCCTTCCTTCCTTCCTTCCTTCCTTCCTTCCTTCCTTCCTTCCTTCCTTCCTTCCTTCCTTCCTTCCTTCCTTCCTTCCTTCCTTCCTTCCTTCCTTCCTTCCTTCCTTCCTTCCTTCCTTCCTTCCTTCCTTCCTTCCTTCCTTCCTTCCTTCCTTCCTTCCTTCCTTCCTTCCTTCCTTCCTTCCTTCCTTCCTTCCTTCCTTCCTTCCTTCCTTCCTTCCT